AGGTGGCTAAACTGAGACATAAGGAATCTAAATGACTGGCTTGGGGTGGCACGTTGGAAGAAAATTATGACTTGAGCTCCTCTGACTGCAGCCTTTCTAAAAATGCAGAAGGTTTCTGTGTTGCCAGTTCCGTTGTTCATCTCTTACTTGCTTCTCTATTCTACCTGGCTGTGGACATGAAATACGTTTTACCTTGTGGTGCTGTTCTTCATTGAGGATGCCAGCCTAAGGCAGAAGAGTTGCTGTGTTTTTCATCTCATTCTTTTTATTCTATTTACCCTGCCTCTCTGATTTCTCTTCAACTGTGATCATCGTTGGTTTAATATGAGATTTGTCATTCTATCAGCTACAAAACCCCATAAACAGGTCTGTAAGTTGGTGGCATCCTCTCATCATTACTATAATTGGCCAGCAAGAACCCTCCAGCTCTCAGAAATTACTTCTTTGTACAGTAGGGTGTAAACAGAAGAGAGTTTTGCTAGTGTGAGCTGTAAACTGATATTTGCACAATTTATTTGTATTTACTTTGCCGTATTTTATCTTCTCAATCAGGAGCTAAGGGAATTGTGTTGCAATTGGACTCTAAGAGAGATGAAGCTAGCAGCTGGAAAACACTCCATTCAAAGTGAAATGGATTGTGTGTGTTCACAATTGGTTAAATAACACATGTTTTAATGGAGAACTGCATGTTGGAGTCATATATATATGTTTTTATTAAAAAATATGTACTTTGATAGGAAAAGTCAACATATCGGTGTTATTGGGGAATCTTTCCAAGACTTAGCTTTCAAGTGGATAAAAGAGTACAAACTTGGGATAACCAAAGGTGAATACAACCAAATTGGCTACTCCATTAGCATAGCTGTCCAGCTGCATCCTAGGCTCTGAGGCCACTCCAAAACCACAAGCCCGACTGCCTCAGAAGCCTGCCAAGGAGCCAGCTGCTGCTAATAAAGCAGACTCTACAACTTGGCATCTGGGGCCTGTGATTCCCATCCAGAAGAAATTGTATGTGAAAAATATTTAAAATTTGCCTTTTTAAAGAGTGTATTGCTTTGGAAGAAGAACGCTTTAGACTAAACTTGCAGCGAGCAAAATACTATATGAGTGCTGTGGTTGCCATGGGAAGAAAAATACCATCCTTGAGTAAGGAGGTTGCATGCTGGAAGGAGGAGTGCTGTTCGTTTTGTAACCAAAGAGGCTTCTGGTTCAGCATTTCTGGGTTATTGAGTAAGAAAGACCAAGGTGTCTTATTATTGATGCTTAGCTGTGCGCATGGGGCACTGTGTATCAGAGGGCTCGCTGCTAGGACATAAGAGCAAGGGTGTGTTCCTGAGACTGCGTAAGAATTAAGCACATTAATTTCTTACTTTTAAATAATGAAAAAGAAGAAATTTCATTCATTTTTCAAAGATGAAAACAAATCCTATTAGCCAGCCGTGCTAAATTAATAAGCTGCTTGGAATGATCTACAAACCGGTTCCTTCTCCTCACACTCCCCATTGAATAATGAAGCATGAGAATTGAAAAACGAGTTGGTTGCATTGGATATGTGAAAAATTAACAGCCAAGTCGGCTCCGAATTCCAGCTGCCTTTTGAAGTAAACCATGTAGATTTTGCTTAATATTCTTTTTTTCTTTTTTTTTTCCTAGTGCTGCAAGTCCAGTGCTTGGCCATGCTGGGAAAACTTCTTTCCCAGATGTCTGCAGTTGGTGGTAGGGTTTTTTGAGTCAGTGCTGTGCTCCTCGTGGCTCTTGTGGCATGGAAGTTAACTGCGTTAACTGCCTGCAGCCACAGAGGGAGCCCATATCAGAACCAGACGCAAATTTCCAGCCATCAGGTGCATGCAGCTGCCCCCCTTGAGCACTGTGTGGGATCCCACAGCGAGCGGGCTGTATCTTGGATCATCAGCAGGTTGCCGTTCATTTCTTTCACTCCCCTTATTAGGTGGAGATTAACAAACAGAGCCTGTGCTCATTTGGAGGCGAAACACATACCTCTGCCATCAGTCGTGTGCTCCTCGGCTCACGAAACAAGAATTCAAAGCTTTCTTCTGACCTGAAGCTTTTAGCCTGGCGACTGGCCAGAAGATGTCATCAGCCCTAGTACAGGCAATTTTGTAATCTTTCTGCGGACGCTGTTCTGGGGTATTGGATGTGCATGGAAATTACTGTGGGCTGCAGTGCCTGAGATTTATTAGCGAAGAGAGGGTTGGGAGTGTAGCAGCGCTCGCTGGTCTGAGAAGGTCAGCAGCCTCCAAAGCGGAGTACGGCCGCATCTCCGCCAACCCGTGAAACATCTCGCTGGGTGCTGTGGTGAGCCTGGACATTTGCACCTGCCTTCTGGCTGCTTCAGCTCTAACTTGAGAGACTAACTTATCCCATGGCCTAATTCTTGGGGTGTAACGAGGACTTTTTTATTATTATTATTATTAGCAGTGGCCTTAAAAATCAGTGTAAATGCAATTCAGGTTCACTTCTAGGTCCCCATTCAGCTTACTGAGGGGGATAAAATGGCTTAGGCTTAAATTAGAATTAGGCCCCTAGTGCTTTCCTCTGTGTGAAGATAAAGATCTTACAATAGAGTGAAAATTGCCCTTTATATTTCAGAGGTATATTTCCACTTTATTATTTTTTTTCTTGCTTATTAGGTTGGTGTGAGAATAGGCCATTTATCCATTATCCCCCGCTAAGACATATATAATAACAACAATTAATAATTAAAGTACACAGCACCTTATTGACGTGCAGAACATTCTTTCTTTGTGTCCTTATGTCATTCGCATGCATGCAGTGTGTATGTTAAACTTGGAAGTAGGAGGGTAAAGGAGTGAGAATGTTACCTTGACTTTTTTTTTTTTTTTTTTTTTTTTTAACATTACCGATCTTGAAAATGTGCAAAATTACCATGGGATGTTTCCTGTGCTGGTGCTATGCTCAAGCTAAATGAATGCCGCAGCCACATGTACCTCTGCCATGGCCCTGGAGCATCCAGAGATTTAAATATGCTCTCAGCCAGGATGTTTTAAGATGCCTGCCCTCATGCCTTCGGTGGAGGTTACCATTGTCTGCAGCATGATCACGGCTACAGCGTGGAGCTGATTTCCCGGCCGTGCCCATGGCACTGGGGCACAGCCGAGGCGGTTCGCTGTGCTGGAGCTCGGGGCTGCTGCTCCGAGTCTCTGTGTCTGGGAATGACATTGAAGCTCGGCTGGATGAGGATTACCCAGTGGTAAAGTGTGTGTGCAGGGAAATACGATCTGTATGCATTAAGTGCTTTTGATTGTCAGCAAAAGTATCTGCACAGATACTGGGGGAAGGAAGCACGTTGCCCTTTCTCTGTTACTGGAGATGAGAGTGAATGTCATTACTTGCCAGTGTGGTGATCCCACTGTCTATTAAGCTGATTTTTCCTTTTAATGGATCCTACTTGAGTCGCATTACAACCCGGCTGGATTGTAGAGGAATTGTGTTGTCCTAACACTCAAATGGTGTGTGCCCACCGACCTGGTTGGCATGAGAGAAACTGGGGAGGAGGAGGGAGAAGACAGCGGGAAAGGCATCACAGCAAGCACGGGGCTTTGTGCTTCATCAAAGCCTCTGAGCTTCACCAATCACTGATGCTCCCTTTAAGTTCCTTTTTTTTTTTTTTTTTTTTTTTTGACTCATGTAGGTAAAAGAGGCTTGTTTGAAAGAGTTTAAAGCCACTAATTTAAAAATATCCTCCCTACCAAGGCTCTGATTTCTTATGTACATAATTATGAGCGTTAAAGAAGGGCCACCGAAATGAAAGGGACAGTTGATTAGCATGATCAGAATTACTTACAGCCTTCAATATTTTCTCTATTCGGGGCCTAAGTGCAGACCTAGCATATATCAGAAGTCACTAAAGTGTCGCTGCTACTATACTGAAAATTGCGTATGTTTTGCCTTTATTAGGCCATTAGCACACTGTGGTTAGCTTAGCATTGACCCACCATTCACCTGCAGCTGTATCTGTGCATTCTGCTACCAGAATATGCTGATTTTCTTGCAGAAACCAGCCTTTCCCTGACGCATCCCCAAGCTCCCCAGACTTCTCTTTCACCTGTGCCTCAGCTTTTCCACGCAGGTGACGGTGGCAGGAGTCATCCTCTCCCTGCTAAGCCCTCTGTCTTGGCAGGCAAGCAGGCACGCTGATGGTCAGTGAGCTGGGGATGGTTGAAACAGCTTAAATTCATTGCTCTTGCCCCATATTGGAGGTGCTTAGGTAATTTTTATAGCCTGAGGGTGCGTCTTCTTTCAGAGCATGTATTTTCCAGAGCATAAGGAGAGCATACTGTTCTCCCCGTGGGAATGCCTCCCTTCTGAAGTGATGCTTCTCAGTGGGTTGTGTGTGGTTTGTGGTTGTTCAGAAGTGGGTAAGTTCCTAAGAGCGGGAGGTGCTATTCTGACCTTATTTTCCAAACCCTGTTTTCTGCTGTGAAAGCCATCCGTAATGGCAGAGTGTTTCCAGGCTGCTTTGTTTCTTCCCCTCTCAGGCTGCCTAGCTCCTTGCCACCTGGCTCTGCGTGCACTGGAGGCTCCTTGTATTTAGGAAAGATTGCTTAGGCTTCTGGTATCAGTTCCCATACCTTTGGCTAGATATTCTTATTTTTATCTCGGAATATTCTTAAAGCAGATTGTGTTTAACTTCTTTCTGTAATGCTAATTACATCTGAGTATCCATCATTTCAGAGGCTAATTTTGGGATCTAGATAAAATAGACTCATAATTGAGCTACTTTAATTTCACTCTAAACAATAGCACAGAGGGTGAAATAAGGCACTATATAGCCTTGGCTGAACCCCAAATCTCAGCCCCATTTTAAGTTCCAAGGGGTGTTGCTGGCCCAGGTTGGGTGCCTGCACGATGGGCAGCGGGTGGCTGGAGGTGGGCAGGGGGACAGGAGGGGAATGCCCTTCATTCATTGCTATCAGGACAAAGCCCAGTAACAGCCTCTTTTCTTTTTCTGTTTCCAGCAGTCCTATGCACCAGCTCCCCACCCCATGGCTCCTCCCAGCCCCAGCACAAACAGCAGCAACAACAGCAGCAACAACAGCAGCGGAGAGCAGTTGAGTAAAACCAACCTGTACATTCGAGGCCTTCCACCCGGCACCACTGACCAGGACCTTATCAAGCTGTGCCAGCCGTAAGTGCAGTTAAAATACTCGGTGTCTTTGGGCAAGAAAATGTTAAAGCTGGCCTTTCATTAACACTTGAGTTTATCCACAAAAAAAAGAACACTGATGCGCTTGAAGGTTAACCATTATTCCTCGTGTTTGAACAGATAATGAATGCCTGTTGAAAACCTTTTGGTAATGAGTTTTAAGGGACGGAGAGATGATGAGGACCTTCACATTAACTTCTAGTTATCTGGTTTCTTTCCTACGGTTAACAAAAAAAAAAAAAAAAAATTTGCATGGCAAGAAAACCTCCCTAATGACAGATTTTATAGTTACAATAATCTGTGAATCATAACCTCGTGCACAACAAAACATGGGTGTTCCCACCTCAGTCATTTATCACATCTTTCAGTTGCTGTGTCACACATTGCTGGGCTCAGAGATTGAGAAGTATGAAAACTGTGGAAGGTGTCCTTGTAGCAAACATCTCATTACCTGCAGTTCCACTGAGAACTGATGATGTAGAAAGTAGCACCTTCTACTTTTCTGTTATCTCTAGAGTCATGTTTACAGTTTCTACTGATAAATATCAATTTTGTTGTGTTTTAACACTGTTAAAACTGGAAAGGAAGTAGGAAGGAGCTCTTTGCTCCTCATGCATCATCAACAGAGCTGTTTCCAAAAAGATTGCAGCTGGCTAACCCTTCTCACTTGACCTATTAGTGGGCACTAAGGGTAGATATGAGGACCTGACTGGACTTCCAATGTCTCGATTATTATTGGTGATGTGGGAGGGGGATAATCCAGATTGAGATTCCAAGCAGAGATCACCTGGGTAGAATTTCGGGTAATGTTTTTTTGTGTTAAAAATAAAAATGTTGAGAAATTTAAAGAAATAAAAATCCACCCACTCTTTGATACATAACTGCAGTGCTTTTGTCATACAATAGTCTCTTCCTAAAAACAACAACATCTCTGATATTTTTTCATTGCACATCAGCATTTCAAATAGGGATCAAAAATGGATGTTGGTAACAGTCTGTGGCTCATCTACTGACCTGAACCCAAACTGCTGTTGTTTTCAAGTTTGGCATAGGAGTAAATATGTAATGGGATGTTACATTTATGTCATTCTGCACTTCCTGTTATTCACCAGAAGTGCTGAAGGACCTCCCAAAATATACCTTATGCATACCTGACCGAGCAGGAGTGGAAGCAGAAGTCTTGTTGAAGTGATATATGAACTTTAAGAAAATGATGTTAGCTTGGGACTCTTCCCTGTGACTTTCTGTTGCTGAAGTCAGTACAGCTTGAAGTGGTTCACTGTTCACAGCAGCATAGCATGCTGGTGATTTTTCATATTGGATGCAAGTGGAATTGTTAGTATACCTGCCTGACATTTGTACGAACCATATCCATTGACACTTCCCACTTGTGACAGTCACAGATAATCCCAGTTCAAGGGCCAGATCCTCAGCAGGTATAAATTGACTGTAGCTCTGCTGACATTCGGAAAGCTATTTTGCTAGACATCGTCTTGCAGCCTGACCCTTTCCAAGTTCAGACAAATGCTTTCAGCTGAGCAGCTGATCAGGAATGAACTAACTATTCCTACAGGAGCCTCATGGCAGCAGCGCTTAGTGCTGCAGTCATGGTGTGAGGCATAAGATGGCTGTGGGTTACTTGAATGCAGCTCAGAGAGAGTGTCCCTACCCCTTTGTCCTCGTATGGGAAATGCACATCAACTGAGAGTTTCCTTTTGGCAAATTCCTTTGGCAATTTTTAATGTGCTCCACTAAACTTAATCTGGTCTGTGATTAGAGGGCTTTGTCTTGCTATCATGGAGTTCCTGTGTGAACAGATGCTCTTTAAGAAAAATGCTGACATTTATTTTGCTGATTTTCTATCCTTTGGCTGAGTGGAAGTGAGGAGAAACCAGATAGTTGTTCTTTTTTTTTTTTTTTTTTTTTTTCTTAAGAGTGCTAAAGGTATTTAGCAAAGCAAAAGGGAAAGATGACATAGGAAAACTTAAATATATGAAAACAGAAGAATTTGTCATGACAGCATGTAGATTCTTAATAGTTTGCAAGACATTTTCTTTACCTTTACAGATGGTTACATAGTAGAGATGAATTAATGTCTAGATCCCATTGTTCTTAACTGTTTTCAAAACATGCATTATGTGTAACAGCAATCTGCTGCTACATGAGCAAGACGTACATTTGTGTCTTTAGAAACGGTTGTCTTTTATACACATTTTCTCTTAGCTTATAAAACTGGGGTCTCACCACGCAAATGAAAGATAATACATACTACTAAAGACTTAGTGTATTAAGTATTCACAAAACAGCAGAAGGTGCTAGCTTGTAGGCTTCCTGCATAGAAGTAATAGTGTAATTTGTTACAGGATATGAGGTGAAAAATTTGGATTCCGTAAACCACCGTATTATTTGCAGTACAGGGTTTTTGGAGAGCTGCCTTGAAGGAAGGTATTCACCAAAGCTAGTTTATGGACACTGGTTCCCCTAGGCTAGCTGCCAGTGCCTAAAGTGAGCTCTTCTGAACCCATTTCCTCTGCTCCAGCATGAGACAAGGCTGCCAGCAGTACAACTGTCACTTGCAGTGTCTGACATTTGGCAGGTCTGAGGAATGATGTTCTAAAAACACAATATTTCTCTCTCAGAAGTACAGGGAATGCTGAAAATGCTTGTGGCTATGTGTATTTATCATAGCACATCCCATTTCCAGGTTTATTCCAGCAAGAAGGCCACCCTCTATGTGACGCCTAACATTGTATTATTTTTTTTTTTCAATTTAATTGCTTTTTGCCAGGTTATGGAAGAGAAACACTTTCGTTGGACTTTTTTTTTTTTTTTTTTTAAACTGAGGGGCTGTCTTGGTGAATCCTGCCTGCTTTTCTGTATTTGTGCTGTGTGTTTTTAGGTGGTACATATTGCACGTTAAACAGAAAACAGCAGACTGGAGTGCCATTGATGCTTGAAGTGCAGAGTCCATTACACATGGTGTCAGACATTTCTGACAAATGTTCCGACACTATCAAACCTTTTATCAATTTAAGAGTAACCTTGTCACGGTAATCTGTCAAACTGTTCATATAACTAAAAGAAAACAAGTCATCATAGGCTGTACAGTAACTGAGTAAATAAAAAAAAAATGCTACTGGAAATTTTCTTTCTGTGTGTGGTTGAGATCCTTGGTATCTGGTTTAACATGTGTCCAGCAAAGTTGCATCAAATTCTCTTTTGCGGTAGACAGCTGCTAGGTTTTACTGTACCTTTTGGGACTTTATACAATGATGCTGTCAAAGGTTATGTTGAAAAAGTGTGAATAGGACTATTTAGCAAACAAGAATATGGTATTCTTTAGATACGTATGTTTTTCCTGGATTTTCATAAAAGCGAGTAAAGAGACTTCCAAAAATGAACCATGGCCTCTCTTAACCTTTCTTGATGTTTGTTTATTATTATTTTTAAAGAGGCTTCACACCCATCTGTGAGCATATTGATCATCAGAACTTGTTAATCTAAAAATTTGATTTTAAATATTCCATCAAAATAATTTTAGATTTATCACTGGCATTTATTACTCTGAGGTGCAGTTACTGCTGTTGTAATAGTACGATCCATTCTGGTCAAAATATGCTCGTCATCAAAAGGAAATATAACCAAACTTAACATGCAAAATTGTACATTATAGAGAGAAATATATCTCTGTACAAGCAAAGTATTTTTTTTTTTTTTGAAATATTCATAATCTGTCACTCATATTTTCATGCATGGTATTGTATTTGATCCAGAAGAGTTCCAAAACTCTCTTAAAAACATACACAGATGGCTTAGTCCCTCGTTGGTGTACTGGACACATCACATTCTTATTAAATATGTCCCAGTGGAGGTAGACTGAAAGAAAACTCACACACAAATTAAACATTTAAGCTTTATTACTTCGAAACATTTTTCTTTTCAAAAACTTGCAGTTTCCCTCTAAGGATTTTGGTCTTTCTGTCTGTCTTTTCTCACATGTGTGCACTGAAGAAGACAGTCCCCAAACTCTTTAAATAGATAAAATAATTTTTGGAAAACAGAAAGGGAATTTGAGAAAAGAGATTAAAAGTACCTTTTTGTGTGTCATGTGTCCTGTTTCCCCCCACCCCGGACTAACACAAAATTCTGAAAAGTTGGCTTAAAAAACAACATTTGACTAAAAGAAAACAATAATAAATGAGCAACAACAACAACCTTGTGCAGTGCACTATTAAGACATTGGAATGTATTGAAAAAATAATCCCTGTCAGTATTGAGTAAGTCATGAATTTTTCATGCCCAGTCTATAGTCTTAAAGAAAGCTATTTAAAACTTCTGAAGCCTGATAGTTTCAGCTTACTTATGTTTTTATCCTGATTGAATCCTCCCTGCTTGCACCAATAACATACCTTCAGGAATCTTCTATTTCCATCTGCTTTATTGCTCTTGGTTGGGTTAGCTATCTCGTCGTCCTTCACCAAGACTGGACTTCTTTGTGATCCAGGGTAAAATAAAAGGACTTAATTAAATCGACAGTGGGAAAAATAGCCATACCTAAAGAGCAGCAAGTCTGCATGCTGGTCAAGCTGTCTTTTGTGGATGATAAACCAGAATTTCAGAGATATATGGTATTCTAGATATGGGAAATCTATACCAAATTGTGATTGCCATGAGTGTTTCTTTTCTCTGAATAGTTTCTAGATCCATATCTTGTACAGATTACCCAATATGTGTTTTTGTTCTTAGTTTGTTGTTGTATTTATTTATTTATTTCTGTATTTATGGCTGAAGGTGTCATGATTTGTCTCCTTGGCAAGTCATCGAGTGTGAGACTTTAGCCTTTCATCCCATGCAGAACGTCCTTGGTGTTGTCCCTGTGGAACCTCTGAATAAATATTCCGACCGCTGCTGTTTGGATTCTGCTAAAGGGCTAGCCCCAAGGATAATGTAACTGTGGTTATTAATTGAAAATACACACATTA